ATCAGGAATAAGACAAGGATATCCACTGTCTCCACTGCTACTCAACATAGTCCTGGAAACTTCAGCAGGAGCAATTAGACAAGAGAAAGAAATAAAAGGAATAAAGACAGGAAAGGAAGAAGTTAAACTATTGTTATTTCCAGGTGACATGAGATTTAGATGATCCCAAAAACTCTACCAAAAGACTTCTAGATTTAAAAGCAGATTTACTGATGTAGTTGGTTACAAAGTCAACACTGAAAAATCAATAACCTTCCTGTATACCAATAGCAAGCTTGCTGAGAGAGAAATCAGGGAAACAATACCTTTCACAATCGCATCCAAAAAATGAGATACCTAGGAATGAATCTAACAAAAGATGTAAAAGACCTCTGCATTGAAAACGACAGTACTCTGAAAAAGGAGACTGAAGAGGATATGAGAAAATGGAGAGATGTCTTGTGCTCTTCAGAAGGAAGAACCAAAAAAGTAAAAATGGCCATCCTTCCAAAACTTTTTTAGAGGTTCAATGCAATCCCAATCAAAATTCCCATAGTATATTTCATAGAATTAGAACAGACAATCCTAAAATTCATCTGGAACCAGAAGAGACCTAGAATAGCAAATGCAATCCCGGGCAAGAAAAACAAGACAGGGTGCATCACAATCCCTGACTTGAAATTATATTATGAAGCTGCTGTGATAAAAAGTATGGTACTAGGAAAAAACAGAACCAAAGATCAAGGGAACAGATCAGAACATGCAGAAACTGCACACACACTAAGTACCTTATCTTTGACAAAAGTGCCAAATACATTCACTGGAAGAAAGATAACCTCTTTAATAATTGGAATAACTGGCTTTACACATGCTGAAGATTAAAACTGGACCCTTATCTTTCACCATGCAGTAAGCTAAAATCAGAATGGATCAAGGATCTTATTATTAAAACAGAAACATTAAATCTGCTGGAAGATAGAGTAGGTAAAACTCTTGAAGACATTGGTGTAGGCAAAGACTTTATGAGCAAAACCCATATTGCACAGGAACTATCACAAAGAATCAACAACTGAGATCTCATCCTATTGAAAAGGTTTCACATAGCAAGAGAAACCACTAGCAGAGTGAAGAGACACTATGTGGGAGAAAATGATTGCTAGCTGTTTCGCAGAAAAAGTTTACTATCCAGAACATATAGTGAACTAAAAAAAAAAAAAATTCAGTCCTGCCAGATTTAAAGGTCCAATCTAAATATTGGCATCTGAGATGAAAACATCCTTCTCAGATGAAGAAATACAAACAGCAAATAAATATGTGAAAGTTTAACCTTACTGTTCGAGTGATGTAAATTAAAACATCAGTGAGATTCTACCTGACCCCAAAAAGAATGGTTATTATGAAGAAATCAACCAACAATAAATGCTGGAGGGGCTGTGGGGAAAAAGGAACTCTTTTCCACTGTTGGTGGAGTGCAGACTGTTGCAACCACTGTAGAAATCGGTGTGGAGATTCCTGATAAATGGGACTAGAGATCCCATTCGACCCAGCTATTACCTTTCTGGGTATCTTCCCCAAAGAATTAAAAACATCATACCAGAGCGATATATGTGCACCCAAGTTTATGTCAGCACAATTTTAATAGCTAGATGTGGAAATAACCTAAATGCCTGCCACTGAGGAAAGGAAAAGAAGATGTGGTTATTTTATACAACAGAGCACTACTCAGCCATAAAAGACAAACTGGGACTTTTATAGGAAAATGGATGCAACTTGAGACTATACTTGTAAATTAAATCAGATATGTGTAAACATTGTATTGTCTCACTAGTGTGACAAGCAAAACAAACACAATATATGTACATGTAATGTATACATATGTTCATAACAGTAATTAAGATGGTTATTCCAGTGATTTATCTGAGTTCATGAAGAGAAAGATTTGTGCTGATAGTTTGGACAATTGAATACAGATGTTCTGTGCTCTCGGTGAATGATTTGGGGATGATAATGCACAATGTATGTACCACTGTTGCTTCCTGATTGATGTATTTTGAAATGTTAAAAAATTTTTTGAATTATGTTTTCTCTCTTTGAAGTAAAGTGCATTTGAAAAAAACTTTTTTAATATAATGAAACTAAACAAACAGTAGGGTAATTTAAAGGTCTGGAGCAATTAAGACTGTTAGTGGATAGGCTGGCCCAAATAGTCAACATTTCTGCCCCTTCCAGAGCCAGACTGACATCCCTGAACTCAACTAGTGGCCAGCGCTCATGGAGAAAAGCTCTAAATACCTGCCCATTTCCAAGCCAGCCTTCAGCTCCCAGACATGGGATAGGTAAAACATTCACCCTGAGAGTGAAAATAGAGTAAAATAGAGAGTAACAGAGAAACAGAGAACATAGAGAGTAAACATAGAGAACATAGAGAAAATAGAGAGTAAAATAGATTCAGCATCTGAATCTATTTAGCATAACCTGTAGCATAACCTGTCAATGTATAACGTATGCTGTTAATCATGGGTCGCTCAATATTCTTAGCAAGTGAAGTAATTGGGGTATTTTCTGTGTAGGAATATATTTCATATGAATAGAAAATATTTGCTTTGTGGCTCAACTTAGTGAAATTCATGAACTCTGTGGCATACTGAATAATTAAACAATGATAGAGAGATGTCAGTTTCAGACAAAAAACATACAGAAAACAGTACATGCTAAAAACCAGTAAGGAATATCTTAGTATAAACCAGTTAATATAAACACTGAAAATTTACACATTTTTGGTGCTTAATACTTTATGTAAATCTGAAGACAAGACTGTAAGGATTATGTATTATCTTGATACATCTAGATGAGAAGATTTAAAGCAGCCAAAAAGTTTAAGATGGGAGGGTGAGGCAGGATCACAGTGGGCTACAAGTGAGTTTCAAGACCAGCATGACCCACATAGGAGACCCTATGGGACTCCTGAAAACCTCAAAACCAAAAAAAAACCTATAAAAAAAGTTTAAGGAAAAATATTCATTACTTTTAACACAATCACTTCCAGTTTCAGATAGTAAAGAGAAAGGCTCTTGTCCTAGTTCATACAGCTGCTTTGTTATATACAAATATGCAACCAACTAGCCCTTAAAAATGGCAGTGCTACGTGACAGCAGATGCAAATAAAGCAGGGAGGGAAGCTGTAAGATTATACAGCTATTTACAAACTTCAAGACCAGTGATAATGTCTCTTACTGCTTATTTTTTGCATGGAGACCTTGCACTTTTTGCCAATTCATAGAAAAGCATTTCTAGATGTTTTTCAAATGTAAAGTGTAAAAAAGGGAAAATTTTTCCCTGTAAATCTTTCAATGTGTCCATCTTTCATTATTTTGCATTACTAAATAAAATTAAAAATGAAATTTCAAAACAAGATTGTTAGGCGTATGAAACACAGGATATAGCACACATTAATATTGGAATTCTCTTCCATAATGTCTTTTTAGTCAGCAAATACTATTGCCACAGAAAGAAAACTGCATGACAATTAGATAGCAATCTCTACAAAGACTAGATTTAATTATCCTCATAAGAAGGTAGACAATTTTCAGAGTCACACATAACCTTGATCTTTAAAATCAAACACAGATGCAAGGATAAAAAGCTTTATACACTTATGTGCTCATTTCCAAATGTGCTCCCTGGAAAAAAAAAAGAGGACGGATTAAAGTAACCTCATTTGAGCCTCATAAGGTTGTATCTGACTTGTAACAAAAACTTACATAGCTATTTGATTTATTTATTTTTGATCGGTATTGGGTATTTGATCGGTATTTGATCACGACCATGCGCTTGCAAGGCAGGTGCTTTTGCCGCTGAGCTACATCCCCATCCCTTATAGGTATTTAATATATTTCATGGCATTAATACAAAGATAAACCTGACTTTACAGAGAAATGTTTACACAAATAAATGAGAATTCACTAAACCACAATGAAACACAGGAGCAGAGAAACAAACCAAGATTAAATATAGCATACACAAAAACTAAAGAACAAAACCAAACCTAACATTTGGAAAAAATGAGTCATGTGGTAATGGAGACATCCTTAATTTGATAATTTTTTTTTTTAAATGGGGGAGACGAGAGTTGCAAGAGACCAAACCCATGGCCTGTGCCCTTAAAGCCATGCTACTATGGAGCCATATTCTCAGCCTTTGATTTGGTAAGTCTTGTCTTGACATCACGGTAACACTTACTAAGGTTTCAATACAACAGTAACAGCAGTAAATTAATCTCTCAACTAGAACGACTGTAGGTAATTGGGATATGACTTTTTAAATTTTTGCTTTTTCCAGGACTTGAGTTTGAAATACATAAATTAATGTAAATAAATATTAAGTATTATAAGAGCACAATATTTACTGCCTGCAGTACCTACACGTTAGCAAGACTTTTCAGTAGTGTACTTCCCCCAAACAGAACTTTCATTCACGTAGGTTTATGTTTTTCACTGTATGAAAATTAATTAGTCTTATATTCTGGGATCTTATTTAGTGATAGTATACAGAATATTTTTTACTGATGGTCAACACTTCTAGGAAAACAGCTATGAAGGGAGTAAGATTCCCCTGGGCCACGCATTTGTCCGTGTCTACAAAACACAGGAAAAATGTACAGGAGTGTGAATGGGATCCACAACAGCTGTGCAGGAAGGGTGGTGTGTGACACGGTTCGGGGAGAGCTGCAGTGAACACATTTAGAGTAAGTCTGCCCGAAGTGATTCTAAGGCGTTCTCCACAGGGGTGGAGTCTTGGGAAGCAAGGTGTAGTGGTGCGACAGGATTACAAAGACAGCAAGTGTCACTGGATCCCTAAAGCTTATTAGGAAGGAACAGCTGCATAAGGCGCTGCAAGAATGAATGAAAGGCAGGGGCAATGTGAGCACTTGCAGGAGAGTGAGCAGAGAAACCCGAAGGAAGGGGCTGAACTCCCAGTGCTACGAAGAGGGCCATGGCTGACGGGTGCGCGACGGCACTGACCAGAGAGAACTCGGTGCCGGGCCAGTTGACTCGGAAAGGGACATCATCGCTGAGCGGGGGGAGCGCGCGGCCGCCGCCGGACGCCTCCAGGAGGCCGCAGAGGACCAGGAACACCGGCCCCCCGGGTACCAGACTCCGCACGCCGCCGCCTCCTTCCTCCATCCTCCGCTGCCGCTTTCCCCAGCCGCTGCTACAGCTGCCTCTGCACAAAGAGGAGACCAGGAGGAGGAGGAGGAGAAGGAGGAGGAGGAGGAGGCGGCGGCGGGACTACAAAGCAACCCAGGTGCCCGGGACCCAACCGCCGCCACGTCTCCTTCCGGAGAGCCCGGCAACACCGCCCCACCCCCGTGGCCCTTGGCCACAGCTTCCGGAGCAGGCGGCCTGTAAACATCCGGGACCACTGGGACCCCCTGCACATTTCTTCCGGGGCAGGTGGCAGATAAACTTCCGCCCTCATACACCTTGGCCTCCAGCTACCACTTCCGGGGCAGGCGGTCTGTAAACATCCGGGGAAGAAGCAGCGCTTGCTCCTGTTCTGTTTTCCATCACCGCGGCTTAGCGGTGGGACTCAAATGTGGCGTGGCTTTCCTGGACGCGATTCCCAGAGGCTTAGGTCTTGGACCAGATCTTTCTTCTGAGAAGCGGCAGGGCCTCAGGGCGAGCGGGTGAGTCCAGTGCTTGGCGCCACGCAACTCCCCGTGAGTGCGGAGAGCGCGGGAGGAAGAGTGAGAGACTCCCATGCGGGTCCAGAGGCTGGGGAACGAAGGCGACGGAGGGGAGCGGAAGGAGCGGCGTGCCGAAGTTCTGCTCACCGCTGCTTCTCCTCCGCTTTGTGCGCTTTGCGTTTTTGGCCAGAAACGTGTCTCCGTCTCCTGCCGATGCGCTATTCGTCTCAGTTTTCGTAGCTTCTGACCTCCACCGCGCGTTCGGTGATCCGGCCGAGGAAACGTGCGGTCCCCGGGCAAAGGACGGGCAGCAGGACTTCCCAGCCTCGCGAGCGGCCTCCTCGCATGTAAGTGGAGGGCTGCGTTTAAGCAAGCGGAGAAGTTTCCTTTTGTTAGAGTCAAGCCAGGCGAATGAATGTGAAGTTAGGAATTTAAGTCACGTTTGACTACGTTTTGAATGGAGACAAAAAGTTCGCCCCCCCCCCTTTAAAAATTGATCGTTTAAGTCTTCAGTATATGAGATTGTGCGTTATTGATCATAAAACGCTTTCCATGCGGGACCTGGGAAGTTGGCTTTAGACTGCTGGTTCTTCTCCAAATGTGACCGAAGCGAAAAGGAAGAGTGGATTTTTTTCATTTTTATACGTAACTACCCCATACTAGGAATTGAGCACCGTTCCCTCACACTAAGGCTACGTTGCTAGCCCATTTTATTTTTCATTTGACATTCTTGCTGAGTTGCTCAGATTGGGCTCCGACTTGTGAGTCTCCTATTTTAACCATCTAGTGGGCTGGGATTACAGGCGTGCACCGGGATGCCTGGCTTTTATAAATTTTCTTTTAAAGTAAATGATTCACAGTATCAAAAGAAAGTACTTCTAGAAATGAGATATTGGCCATTAGCTTATTTAGCATTTCTTACTGTTTAATGTATTGGTGAGATTGACAAAATCACAAATAAATGGGCTCTGTTCTCTGTGTTTCATAGGTCACCAAAGAAGATTGTACAGATAATTGCAAACTAGTGGGGTAATAAGTAGCTAAAGTTTATTGAGCATTTATTTATGTTGGGTACAACTACTTTGTGTTATGTCCTTTTCTAAGGTGGGTATCTATAGATTATACAGTTAGAGAGGTTTTAGGGTGGAGCGCAAAGAAATTGTTCTGGAATTTTATGGTTGGTCAAAAAGGACTCCCAGGAAAGAAACAAAACAAGCAAGCAAGCAAACGAACAAACAAGAAAAGGGCTTCCAGAAGAAGTAATGCTAAAATTTGAATTTTAAGGATTCATAGGAGTTTATTAGGTAGGTAGAGAAATGCACTTTAAGCATAATTCTAAATGACCCATTAGGGCTTTTTGGTCTAGCAGGCACGACGGGATAGGCTCAGAAATAGGAAATTGGTACTACAGAGGAAGAAAAGGTGAGTTCAGAAAAGACTATGTCTTGCAAAAATGTTTGAGCTTTATCTGGTGGGTCAGAACTTCTTGAAGTGGAAGACGTTTTGCATTGGAATCACCTGAGATCCTGTTTTATTTTTGTAGTTGAAAGTACATGTAGGTTAATTACAAATGGATAAAATAGTTAAATGAGCAAAAAAATGATAGAGTTTGCTCTTTTTTTTGAGACAGGCTCTCACTATGGAGTCCAGGCTAGTCTTGAACTTATGTAGCCTAAACTGGCCTCAAACTTGGAGTGATACTTCTGTAAGATACTTACCGAGAATTTGTATCTATGCATAATATATCTTAATTTTTATCCCATTTCCTTCTCCCTTCAACCTATCTTCACTTCCTTATTTTCAAAAGCTGTTTCCTTTATTTTTCTCTTCAGTTGTCATTTTCTTAAGAAAATAATTGAATAGTCTTAGTGTTTAGAAAGGGAACTTTATTAAAAACATGAAGGGAAAGAGACATACAGTATTTGACTGATACAAATGAAAAAAAATTTTATGGCTATTTTAACCATAGGGCTGCAGTGGAGTTGTGTTCAAATAAGGATAGCACTTGTTGACAAAATAATTTCTTTTGCTAGTAAATGCCACAAAGAACTAGCGTTCTAAAAAGAGACCACCCATAGGATGTGTTGCTTTTGGTGGGTCAGGGTAGACTTGTGAGGAAATAACACACTTAGCTTTTTGTTTGGGGTGTGATAGTTATTGTAAACCCAAATATCGAGTTCAGTCATCCAAATATTGAAATCATCTTTCTAGTTTTCCTCTCAATCCAAAAAATTATATTTGCAGTCCCATTGAGATGTTTTTTGGAATCCCAGCTAGTCAATTCCAATCTACCACCACCAACGTAACCCACGGCGAGAGTAAGGACACCAAGACATATTCCAAGTTAAGAGCAGCCAAGGGGTCCTAAGTCCATTTCCCAGGAGGACATGTGGACAAAGGCCTTGATCCTAGGCCTCTCCCAGCATTTATTATTTTGTGAAGAAAGGGGGGGCCCCTCAGGGATGAGTAATAGTGAGGATGTCCGGGATTATTGAGTCACTTGAGCTGGCTGGCCAGGTGCAAGAGTGGCATCTCTGTAATTTGCAGAGATAAAGATATGCAGAAGGATCAATTTACACACAATTAAGGTAGCAGTGTAATTGTTCTGGGGGGCTATCACTGTGGTTTGTGATAGCAAACTCTTGTGCCTCATAGCCTCTTATCCTGAGGCTCATACCCAGTTGACATTCCCGGAGCTGTTTGCTCTAACATCTCACCAGCCCCATCTTGTATGTAGAAAGTACCATGTGAGGAAACACAACTGTCTAATGGCTATGGATTTTGCGTATTAGCACCTGGCTAGCCTTATTTGCAATGCTTAGAGCCAATTGAAGAGAGAAGGAAATACCCTAACCAGCCTTTCACATATCAGTGTAAGGAAATGAGTCTCCAGGTAATCAAAGTCACAGTAATTGTTTTGGATCCAAAGGGAGTTACTGGAGTTGTCTCTCAGGTCTGTAATGGCTGCAACATTATTAGCACCTGGGCTAGCTTTGTTTGCCATGCTCAGAGTTAATTGAAGAGAAGGAAATACCCCAGCCACCTTTTTACATCAGTATAAGGAAATGAGTCTTCAAATATTCAAAGTCACAGTAATTGTTTTAGATTCAAAGGGAGACACTGGAGTTGTCTCCCACAATAGTGGCCATTGACCCTAGGCCTCCCCAGCCCTTTGTATTTTTTTTTTTTTATTTTGAGGCAGGGTTTCCTTACATTGCCCTGATTGGCTTTGAGGATGGTATTACCTCATCTTCTACAATGCTTAAATTACAGGCATGTCCCTCTTGTGTTCTAGGAGATCCTACTATAAAGAGGCTGTTGGGCTTCACTTGCCTGGGACAACTTTTTGACTCTTACCTTGCAGAAAAGCCTTACAGGATGAGTCACTGAGAGGTATGAGCAACTTTATGAGGCAGAAGCAAAGAAGTACACACTCCAAAGGAAAGAGTGTGGTACTTGAGGGATGAAGTGTGCTATAGCCTGGATTTGGAGGTATTTATTAGTCTTGGAGTATCCTGAAGACAGATAATATAGGATGTTTATCTTTTGAGTTATTTATCATTTACTTAGTGTTTATCACATTAGTGATTAGTGAACTAAAGCAAAAACTTTTAAGTTTAGTTAAAATGCAAACTGTTTGCATGTGTTTGAAGTTTAGTGGTATGGTTCCCAGTTTATAATGTAACCTGTTTCCTTGAGGGTGGAAGTCTCTTTGTGGATTTATAATAGCTTTTTAAAAAGCCACAAAAATACAATTTACAGGCTTACTAGTATCTTTAAGACTTGGGAATTTAGGAATGGTGAGCCTTGGAGAAAAAACAGACCTAGAGTTGAAAATGCATTGTAACTTTGGATACTTTTATGTTGTGCAGTTGCATTTTCTTAATTAAAATTTCCTTGTCTCTATTTCACCTTTTTTTCTCTTTTATGTCAGAGAGTGTTGTAGAAATCTCCAGTTTGAGGCCCTGAGGTGGGGTTGAGATTGTTGTGTTGGGAGATACCAAGGCCAGTGTGATTGGAATGTGAGAAACGTGAGGAAATGAAGTTTGAGAGGCACAAGAGAACAAGGGGACAAAGCCTTATAGTCAGGCAGAGGTGTGGCTTTGTGAGGATCACTGTGACTGTTGCTTGGAAACTTGAGTATAGGGGGCATTATATTCTGCAAGCTGAAATCTTTTTTTTTTTTTTTTTTGGTCTTTTTCCTTTTTCTTGGTACCGGGGATCGAACTCACGACTGCCTGCTTGCAAGGCAGGCGCTTATGCCGCTGAGCTAAATCCCCAGCCCCCGTATGCTGAAATCTTAACCCCAGAGGGACTTTATTTGGACATAGGGTGTTTGCAAATGTAATTCCTGTTGAGATGAGGTCATACTGAATCAGGGAAGGCCTTATCCAATATGTGACGTCTTTAGGATGAGAGAAATTTGGACAAGACATGGAGGGAAGAAGATAGTCCTGCCTCAGGAGGAGGCAGATTGGAGAAGTCCATCTGCCAGCCAAGGAACACTTAAGGATTGCCAGCAACCCCTGCAGGTAGAAGATAAGAGAGGTTTTAATGAAAATAAGGAAAGAGGTGCTGGGGATTTAGCTCAGCAGTGTAACTGCCTGCGTGGTGGGCATGAGATCGTGAGTTTGGTCCCAGGACCCACCCTGCAAAAAAAGAA